GGGCGCTTGTGTGGGACGGGCCGCGCGGGGAGAGCTTTATGCCGGCCGGGTGTGAAGTTGGCACCTCGGCCGGGCCTTCGCACTTCTTCACAGCGGGGAGGGGGCGGCCGGGCGCTCCCAGCCGGCGATGGGAAGGCGCGGCCAGGCGGAGGGTCCTGCGGGGGGGCTTCGGCTTGGGGGGGGCGGCATAGGCAGCTGCCCCCGCTCGGCCTGGCCGGGGCACCCGAGGTTGGTCGCCCTGGGGAGCTCTGCGGGGGGCTTTGCCAGGCCGGGGCGCGTTGCCTGCAGGGCCCTGGCAGCCCCCTTGCTCTCCCGACCCCAACGGAGGGGCCGGCCTGGAATTTCCAGCACACCCGGAGGCTCTCCTGCCTTTGGCTCACACACCCCCCCCCACACACACACGCACACTTCGGGGACCGCCTGGAAAGGGTGTGGGTAAAAACTGGATCGGGCTGCGGAGGAATGCCTGGGATTGCGGGGAGTTCGGCCAGGGTTAGCCTGTCCCCCTCTGCCCACGAGCAGCCGAGGATCTCAATCAGCCAAAGAGCCCCATGGCCCCCCCGGCAGTGATTGTCCTCTGGGGGATCAGAGGCTTGGATCCCTCTGTGGAGTGTGTGAGACGCCCCACTCTGAAGAAGCCTCACTCCATTGAAATCTCACCCCACCCAGGCTCTGGTGATGAAGGGTTGGGGGGGCAGTTAGGCTTTTGGGGGGAGCTCTGGGGCTTTGAAGGGGCCACTGGCTCTGTGGTGCGATGGTGGTGAGATGAGGTCCAGCGAGGGCGGATGGTCTCAGCAGGAGAATCTCAGGAGGACTTGCCTGCCCTCGGGGGGCCACGAGGCTGGTGCTCCCCTTCCCCAGCCCATGGAAGCAGGAACACCCCACTGGCCTGCCCGGAGGCTGCTGCCCCCCCCCCCGCCAGCCCTCTCTTTACACCTGCCTGTCTCATTAACTGCAGACTTGAGATGAGTCTTCACACGGGACGCTCAGTGTTTAGACAAGGGCAGGGCTTTTTTTACACCCGGCCCTGGGAAATCCGCCCCTCCAAAACGTTTCCCAGAAGAGCTCCCAGGGATTGGGGCCCCTGAGATGGGGGCAGAAGCGAAATGCAGCTTCTGAAATCGCCACTCAGGCCCTATTTCACCAATCAAGCCCTTCAGGACTAAGGAAGAGCTGGGCTGGGACAAGTGCTTGCGACAGCCGTCCTTCCGGGTTCTGCACCTGGAACCGCAGGGAGAAGAGCAAGGAGAGTGGGGTGCAAGGAGGCAAACTGCCAGTTTTCTTTAGAGCAGAAGGATGCCTGGGCCTGCCCTGGGGGGCGGGCAAGACTGGAGGAGATCATTCTGCCCCTTGGATTTTGGTGGGAGTGTGGAGACCGAGAGGCTACCCTTGCATTCCCAAGACCTGGAGTTTTATTCTGGGAGAGAAAATGGGAGCTCATCTTTTCCCCGGATGAGGAAGCAAGTGGAGAAAAGCAATTGCCAGAGGGGTGGAGAGGGCAGGAGTCAGAGGGTGCCCTGGCCCTCTTTTTTCTTCTTGGGGGGCAGCTAGCTCTCGGTGAATCTGGGAGGAGACCAGAGACAGGCAAGGCTCCCTCTCTGACCCAGACCTTCTGGGGGGAAGACATTTGTGGTGCTTCCACTGAACTCGTTTTGGGAGCCTTTCTCACACGGGGGACAGAGATGAAGGAGAAAATCTCTTTGAGAGGCCAAGCAAGGCAATATACAAGCGGAAAGGAGAAAGAATTAAGAAAGGAAAGCACATTCAATCCACATGTTCTTGTCTCCGGTGGGCGTTCGGCTAACCGAAGACGACTCCTCCCCTGAGTTAATGAAAAAAGGCTTGATGAGGAGGATGAACTGCTGGAGAATCCAACTATGAAGGCTTGGGAAGGCAGTGCCAAGAAGACACGCGCCCTCGGCGAAAGGAGGGGCAAAGGTTTCTGGGGGTCGGCGTGCCAGGGGAGAGAGCCCCCTCCCAGAGGGTCTCCACTGAGAAGGGCCTGTTTCCTCAGCATGGCACGTTGTGTTTTCGGCTGCTGGGTGAGAGAGAGGGAGGGGTGGCTGGATCCATCATAGTCCACCTGGCCTGGGCCTGGGGGGGCAACCTGGGAGGGGCTCCCAGAAAGGCCAGCCAGAGCATTAGCAGCTCTCGGTTCTGTGTGAATTGCTGCCTGCACACTTCCCAAGGTTGGAGTGACGACAATTAAGGCGCTGAGTGGTGAAAGTCACACCTTTGCAATGGGGCTCTCTTTCCCACTGCCCTCGGCTGGGGAGCCTTTGACCCTTTGCCCAGCCCTGCCTGGGGTTGCTTCCCATAGCCAGAGGCAGCATCAGAAAACATTTGCTTTTCCCACCTCTGGCATTCAGCTCCTGCATGCCTGGCCACTGGGCATGTGTGCGAAGAGGGGGCCCTTCTAGGAATCATCATAATTGGCATCAATGTCTATGGAGATTCCCGGTCATAGTTGTCTCAAAGGTGCTTTTTTTCAAAAGGCAACTGGACCGTTTTTCTTCCAAGGAAAAAAGCACCTTTGGGATAAGAATTGTCAGGGACCTTGGAGATTGTCTAGTCCAGGGGGAGGCAACCTTGGCTCTTCGATGACTTGTGGACTTCAATACCCAGAATTCCTGAACCAGCTATGCTGACTCAGGAATCCTGGGAGTTGGAGCCCAGAAATCATAAAAGAGCCAAGGTTGCCTACCCCTGGCTCTATCTACCATTCTGGACAAATGGCTACGCAGTCTTTTCTTAAAAACCTCCCTCAGCAGCAGGAGGCAGGCTGTCCATTACTTTGTAGCTCTGACAGGAAATATTCTCCACAGTTCAAGTTGGGCCCTCCCTCGATAAAGCTTCCACCTCTTGGTTCTTGTCCCACCCCTATGGAGAACATACCCACACCTTCTTCTTGGGACATCCCTGGGAGACGGCTCTCCTATCTCCTCTTTTATCCTTGAGCTAAACAAACCATGTTCTTGTAACCACTATTCATAGGAGCTACCCTCCAGGCCCCTGACCACCTTTCCTGCTCTTCCTTGCACTCCTCCCAGTTCCCATCATCCTTTCTGTACGGGGCAACTAGAACTGGGCAGAGGATTCCAGGTGTTCAGCCCCTCCTCCCCCCCTTCACATTTCTCTGACCGCTCCTAACAGGACTCACAACATGCGTTTGAAGCTTCTCAAGAGGTTCTTTTGACCTGGGCGGCCTTGAGAGAAGATTTAAGGGATAAAGCCAATCCGGGGGTTGGCCTGCCTGCCTGCCACCTGCCAAGGCACCTGCCTTCCTGTTCCAGGCAAATCCAGGCCCTCAGGTGGAAGGAAGGAGGTTTGCTTGCAAAACTCCTGTTGGGCTGTTTTTCTGGTGCCTCAGGAGCAAAGGCTACTGCATCTGTCATGGCTGCCCCCAGAGGAGGCTTCTCCTTCCCACGTGGGGCGGCTGCTGCTTCTCTTCCAGCCGTGCCAAGCGCTGAAGAGGGAGCCCCCCCCCCACGAAGCAAGCAGAGCCCTGCCCTGCCCTGCCGTGGCCGGACGGAGGGAGCTTGCTCAATAAAGGGGCTGCCGAGTCTGCGGTTTTTCTTACAGAGTTGTCCCCCCAAGAACACAGACGTTTTAATGCCTGCGCTTGTGAGACAGAGAGAGATGAAGAGAAATCCCGAAGAGGCTGTGCTTTTATTTATGGAAGAAAGATTCAAACCGTATGATAAATATAATGGCAGGTTCAGCTGCAGGAACATGTTGGCCTCATGAGACCAAATTTTGCATCTACCATAAATTTAGACGCAGAGAATGCTGTATAAAAATAGGGTCTTTCTTGTGCATCAATTCTTTAGAGACTGTTGCTGGAGTCCAGTTTTCATCCTTTTATTCACAAAGATTATGGAAATGTGGGCCTTCTGCTCAGCCAGCTCTTCCCCAGCGGCTTCTGCAAGCTTGTATTCTTTTTGCAAGAACAGTGAAACGGTTGCAGTGTTGGCACTGTGTGTTCTGGCTTGGGTGGTGCCACGTTGCGATGCAGGTAGAGAAAGGGCAGCACAGCTGACCCTCCCCGGCTGCAGCTGGAGCCTGGCCCGGTAGGGGGGGGGGCTGGCAGATCAGGCACCGTGAGGGACCAGATGGGCCCCCTCCCTTTTCGGGGGTTCAGGTGCTGCAATCATCTTGATGTCCCACATGGTTAAAGCAGTTCCCTGTTCCTCAGGTCCCCACTGTGGGGATTCCAGCACCTAGATGACCACCTGCCCCACCCCCTCCTCAAGCTTCAACCCAGTCTGAATTATTCTTCCATTCTTTTTCTGCTAAGGAGGGACTGAATGTTCTTTGGAGCAACTTGGAGACAATAAAACAGGAATTCACCAATAGAAGCTGTTCCATTGATTCACTGTTCTCCCTGCCAGGAAATTCCTCTTTACTTCTAGGTAGGATCTTTCTTTGTTTAAACTTCCACCCATTACGTCTTGTCCTGCTTTCAGGTGCTTTAGAGAGTAAGTCAAGGCCTACTGGAAGACTGCTCTCATGTCATGCCTAATCCCTCTCTTCCTTCCCTTAGTCATTCCTCAGACGGCCAGTGGGAGTTTGCTCTGAGCTGCCTCCTCCGCCCATCTCCAAATGGAGGACAGAGGTTCCCTTGGCCTCCCTGCTGGGTCAGCTCCTCTGAATTAGCCTCCTGGGTTTCAAGTGGCTTCTTTGGGGGAGACAGCCCTTCCCTTCTTGCGCCTCCCCTCCTGAAGCTGCTCAAGCCATGAACATGGGGGTTAAAGCCTGCTAGTGAGGCAGGAGCTCCTTGTGCAGTCTTGCCAAGGCCGTGTTGCCCAAAGGGTGCGGATGCAGGAGTCACGTGCCCAGCCCGTTCTCCACTGCTAACACCTACTGTAGACACAGGGGAGACCAGAGTGCTGTACCAAGATGGCTGGCATCACAAGATCTGCCAAGGGCTTGGCACCAGGTCAAACCCCACACGGCCCTACAATTTCTTCCCTTTCCCCTCCTCCAGCAGTATCTGCACATATCATTCAAGGGACTGTTTTAATTTACAGCATTGCGGTTACAAAATATAAAGGGGCCTTACCACGGCCACCGGAGAGAGTTGCAGCCCACCTGCTCCTCTGCCTTAGAGCCGTGGCTCAAGGGCAAAGTGTCACTGAGGCCACTGCAACATCCCAGATGTTGACCCTCTGCCCTCACCCTGCAGCAGCACCGGCCGATTCCCCCTACGAGTTCTCCTGGAACCACTTCAGGACCAGCGCCTTGTTCTCTGCCACCCACTTGATGTTGGCCTTCGTTCTCTCCAGGGCCTGCTCAAGCGCCCGGGTGGCTGAGCCGAAGCCCACGTCCGCGTTGTCTTTCTTGAATTGCTCCAGCTGTCAGCCAGTCAGAAAGAGAAGGAAGACGCGTTTTTCCCAAGCGCCTCTGCTTGCCGGCTCACAGTTTTTCTGGGGTTTGATCAGAGCTGCGCTCCCCCACCCCGAGTGTTCAAAGGGACTCCCACTGGCCCCCTTCCTTCACATCTCTCTCCCACCACATTCTCCCCTCTGCACTTGGATCAGTCGGGAAGAAGCCCTTCTGGGAACAAAATAAATAATTCACCCAGCAAGCCTTTTGAAAAACCCGAGTAAGATAAGTAGAGCTGATCCGATGCTCCCCTTCCAGTTGCTGGCCGGGAAGACAGCACCACCTTTAGGAGATGCTTTTGCCTGGTTCACTGACCTCCAGTGCTTCTTCTCACCGGGCAGATACATAAATGGAGGACTTGGCTGCTCTCAAAAGGTGGCTGTCGCTCTCTGCAAAGCCAGGCTTCCCCATAACCCCCCTTCCCCGTACCCCAAACGGCCTCACCTGTTGAAGCTCAAATGGGGATGAAAACCTCTGGGTTACCGACTGGATGACGCTGGAGAAAGAGAAGGAGCTTCTCCCAAACCTAGACCAGAAGACAGGGGGATGAGTGGCTGGTCTCCCGTCACCCAGCCCTGGGTGGTTCGGGGGGGAAGGGGGGGCACACTCACTGCTGGAAGAGGGTCTTCCAGTTCATGCGCACAAAATCCCAGGCCAGGGACTGCCCAACCACGTTGCTGGCAATGCTGTTGATGGTGGACATGGCATCCTGGCGGCGGATCATGTTGGGGTCCAGGGTATACTGAAGGTACCTGCGAGGGATTAATAATGGGTAGCTCCAGAAATGTGTGCCCCCTCCCCAAATAGCTGTGGCCTAGGCTTCCTTTCTTTTCATGCAATCGTACAATTGTAGGTTGGAAGGGGCCACAAGGGTCCTCTGGCCCAACCCATGGCTCTGTGCAGGAAAACCATCCCTGAGAGGCGCCTGTCCAGCCTCTTCCCAAAAGCCCCTAGTGATGGGCAGCTGTTCCAACCAGGAAGCTTTCCTTCCCTTTAAATGAGCGTCAGGAGCTCCTCACCTGAGATTGCCCACCTGCCCTTGTTTGAGAGCCAGGGGTTATCTGGGGAGGTCTGAACTGTGCCCCAGTGCTTTGAAAAAAATAAAATAAAAATCCTGGCAATCTCCCAGCTCATCTCTGGCAATCGGAGGAAGCCCTGTGAGCTGCCACCCTGGGCAGAGATGAGCTCACCTCTGAAGGATCCACGGAGTCTGGCTGCAGGTCAGGGCCGCGCGCAGCTTGTCGGCCTCCGAGATCACCGGGGCCTGGCGGAACATCTTCCAGGCGAAGTCCCAGTCCTCCAGGCTGCCTGTGCGGATGGCGCTGCAGTAGACGGCGGAGCGCAGATTGGGCGAGATCCTGAAAGCAAGACCGTCGCTGAGAGTCCCACGGGCAAAGCGGTGGGAGAAGGGAGACACCGGGGCAGGGGGAGGAGCAGGTTTCACTGAGAATGAGCATCTTCAGGTCCAGCACATTCAAAGTGCTGTACGGGGGGGGGATACAGGGGGAGGTTTTGCACAACTGGCAGGATGTGCAGATCCCTGTCATTAACCGGCCCGAGGGTGGCTGCACCGGCATGTGGCGGCCGAGGAGGATTCCTTTGGCCTAAAAGAACAGACGCCGCTGCCAGCCGCAGGGAGAAAAGGGACTGGGACAAACCTGTGCTAAAAGTGCCCTACTCAGAAAAGCCGTCTGCACTGCAAGAAGCCCTTGGCTGGACTGGGGGGGGGCAGGAGGGTGTTCATTGTCCTCCCGACCAAGAGAACTAAGTGGGCGATGCCTTTCAAGATCGGAGGAGTGGGAGGAGGGGCCTTTCTGCCCTTCCCAAATCCACACCACCCTGGAAATAAAAATAAAAAAAACTCTGCCCAGGAGGCTGCTTCAGCTCAGCCACAGCCCAGGAGGGACGCTTTCCTGGCATTGGCATTAAAGTGGCATTTTCTTCTATTCTTGAATACATGTAATGAATAAATAACTCCATATGAAAGATGTTAGGCTCTGTCCTCTGTCTGAGTGCAGGGCAGGGCCCTCCTCCAACTGTCCTCCCCAGGGGGGTTAAAAGCCACTTGCTCTCCGACACCGAGCGGGAGGGACCAGCCCCGCGGGGAAGAGGGCGGCCTGCCGAGAAAGCAGCTGCGTTCCCCCAGTGGGCTCCCCCTGCTCAAGGGGCCCCCCAGGGCCAGGCACTCACGGGTTGTTGGTGTCGTTTTTTTCCCAGGCCTTAAACCAGGAGGCGGCCAGTTCATTGCACCCAGGGACGCCGTAGGAGCAGGCCGTGCGGATGGCCAGGATCTGGTTATACCTAAAGGAGGGAGGGAGGGGTATTCATTCAAGGGGAGTGACCCCTCCCCACTTCTCTCTAAATGCCTTGCCATGCACAGACATGCCCTCCCCCATTCCTCCTCATCCCTGGAGACTCACTGGTTCATCAAGCCATCCGGGATTTTGGTCCAGTTCTGAGTGAGGTTCCGAAAGTGCTCAAACAGGGGGGTGACCTGCTTCCGGATGTATCCCTGCAACAGGAAGAGGAAGGTCTGATTAGGCTCTTGGAATGAAGCTGGAGACCAGCCCCCCCCCCCAGCATGTCCTCTGTGGGGAGCGAAAGGGACCGAAGGGCTGGGATTGGGTGGAGCTCGCACCTGCATCGGCCCGTAGACTTCGCTGCGGTCAAACATGAGGCGGAAGTAGTCCAGGTTGCCCAGAGCCGTGTCCCAAGGAAGATACTCCCTCTCCAGGGCCAGGTAGCGGGTGGTGTTCAGGGCCAGGTCGGTGCCCACATGCTTGGCTCTGAAAGGGCAGCAGAGGGGCTGGCTGTGGGGCTGGTTTCTTCCCTGCCTCAATACGTAGCCCAAAGAGGGCGCCCCTGGACCAGCTCAGCAGCCTCCCGCCAAGAGGGCCCTGTTGCTGCCGCCTGGGGAAAAGACCCCATCGGGCGGGAGTTGCTGGGGGGAGCATTTCAGCCCAGCCAGATCTGCACAGCATGCAGGGAAAGGCCCCCGAAAGTCCTGGTCCCATCGCTGATGGCGACAAAAGCTGGAGAAAAAGCTGTGGGTGTGGAGCGAGAGCCTTTGTGGTGGGGGAGGGGCAGTGGCAGGCGACAGCGGGCACTCCACGGCTCCAAAGCCAACAAACAAGCCAGCTTCACATCCAAACAAGCAGAGTTTGTGAATACAAGGAGTCCTCACTTAGCAACCGCTCATTGTGCGAAATCTGGACAGCGCTGAACGAAGGGACTTATGATCTGTGCCCGAAGTTACAGCTGTTGTAACACCTGCACAATTCTTCGATTGCAATCTGGGTGCTTGGCAACCTGCTCACGCTTAAGACAAGTTGCCAAGTGCCCTGCAATCACATGATCCCCATTGGCTACCTTCCCTGCCAGCGTCCCCAGAAAGTCAAGGGGGGAATGGCAGAGAAGGTGGCAGACTCCCTCTGGAGTCTGGCCGGCCAAGCCCCGTGCGGCAAGCAGCTGGACCAAACCCCTGCTTGGATTTCACAGTGGTCTTTTTTCCAGGCTCTACCTGGGAGATCATTTAACAACTGCAATTGGGAATCCTAAGATTGTGGTCGTTGAGCAAAGTAGTCACGTGGTAGCTCGCTTAATGACTGCTTCACTCAACAACCAACATTTCCAGTCCCGATTGTGGTCATAACTAAGGGACTATCTGTAAGCCCTTAAGCAGGGTGAGGAAGAAAAACCCTCAGACCTGCAGCAATCTTACTGTAATTCTCCTCCCCAGTACCGGGGGGGGGGGGATAAAGGGATTCTCACCTGGCCAAGTTGAAGGCATCATCGATGATCTGAGCACGATTTAGAACCGGGATCATCTGCAAAGGAACAGAACAGTCAGAGAAACTGAATTAAGAGTTAGCAAAATCAGGCAGAGGGCAAGAGGAGAATCCCAGAAGAGACCCTTTGGCTCACTAGCTCAAGTCCTGCCTCAAGACCGTTGCCAGTCGTGCTGGCAGAGCGCCAAGGGAGACTGTGGACCGAGAGAGGGCAACCTCCCATCCAAGAGTGGGCCTGGAGAATGAGATGCAAGGCTATCCCAAGCCTTTGGAGGAGCCTTCTGGAGGCCCACAGGAAGAACAAACAGATGCTGTGGGACACGGGAGGAGGAACTGCTCAGGATTTGGAAAAGGAAGCATCTCCCTGCCTCCCCAGCGTTGTGTCTCTGGGAGGGCTTCCCTTACCCGGGGCCTGGAGGTCACAGAGGTTTCACCATAGCTGTTTCTGGGACAGAGAGGGTTGCTGATATTTTGACAGCCTACCTGGAGGTCTTCGTTCAGCTGATTCATGAGCCTCTGCCAGTTTTCCAAATTGTAGTTTACCCGGAAGTAGCCTGTGACGTTAACGTTGAGCAGCAGCCACTGGGTGGGGTCAGCAGAAGTTGAGAAGTTGACATTTTCAGCTGCAAAAAAGGAAGAAAGGTGGTCCCTCTCTACTGCAAGAGCTGCCACGCTCCTCTTCGGGGGCTACAGGTGAATTTTGCACAGTTTTAAACATACAACACTGATGCCTTCTCCCAAATTTCATTTTGAAGATCAGAAAAAGAGGAGGAGGAGGAGGAGGAGGAGGAGGAGGAGGAGGAGGAGGAGGCCACCAAGCTCCCCCTCCCTCTGGCAACAAGGGAGGCGGTCTTGCCCCCAGCGGGCAGCAGCAGATCAAGCCAGGGCACCCACAGCCCCCTTGGGCCAGCTAGCCAAAGCCACCTGGGCAGCCTTAAGCAAACTCCCATCAAATCTCCTAAAACTCTTGAGCACAATCTTGTAACTTTGTACTATAACAACAAAGGTGGTACAGACTATACTATACAGAATTATACCCGTAGTGTCTGTGAGCCAGTACATCTCTGCCGCCTTTCCTTTGCTCAGCCAGGAAACTGGAACGATCCAGATGTATCTGCAAGAAACCGTCTGTCAGTTGAGCAGCTTCTGCCCTCCCTTGTTCCTTCCCTTGCCTCAACCCGGTCCTCTTCATTCGTGGACTGCATGAGCCTCGTCTCCCCAACAGCAGGATGTGACCCCATGGCCAAGAGCTGCACATAGCCAAGAGGATTCCTTCCAGTCAGTCTCTGGGCAAGGCTCTTTCCACACAGAGGGCTGCCCTCTCCGCAAAGGCTCAAAGCTCCCGACTTACTTGAACGGTGAGGGTCTCTCAACGGGGCTTTCTGGGTCCAGCAGAAAATGTTTTTGGGAAATGATGCCTGTGGCGGTATTAACCGTGAGAACCGGGAAGCCCATCTGCAAGGTCCAACGGTCCATGATGGTCTTGACGGTGCTTGGAAGATTCACGTTCTTCTTTACTGCCTGTCCCAGAAGCATCAAAGAGACACAGCTTGAGAAGATGGCTCCTGGCTCTGGTATTCTGGAATGCCTAATCTCAAGATTTGGACTTTTTGGCAGGGAATGCATCCCAGGCAGCCTGAAGTTGATTGAGGCCACCTGCCAGACAGCCCCACCGGCCTTTGGAATGGAGCTCCTCTCTCTTATGCCACGGAACTGTCTCTGCCTCAACTGGGCCGGTTGTTGGCAACACGGGCAGGGGCCCACAGAAGGAAAGAGGAGAGGGTTGCCACTGGAGTTAGGCAGACAGAACAGCCTAGAGTAGAGCTTCAGAGAAACAATCTGAGTAAGATGGAGCACCAAAGGTCAAGGACCAAGGCCACTTGCAAGGCTATTGGACTTGCCCTCCCATCACGTGCTTGGGGTCTAGTGCTTCTGTTACTCTTAATGGGAAGTTTGCACTGTAACCTTCAAAAGAAATCAGCGCAGGGCAGTCGGACCGAGATGATGGGGAGAGAAGAGAGCCAGATGCCCTCACAGCTGTGTTGGCTTCCGGGTGAGATGGGATTTGTGGATGGGTGGCTAAGAGTGGGCCTACAGGAGATCTGAAGGAAGAGAGGGTGGCTTCAGGTAGGGAAATGTCAGATGGACTTCCAACCGGAGGATGTAGGATGGCATCCTCGAAGGGAGGAGGGCGGTTGGAGTTGACCTGTCACAAGTACGGGAAGGGTTAGGGTTAGGGTTAGGGGAGGGGAGGCAAGAGGCTACTCTGGATGTTGCTATTAGGCGTAGTTGTCTCCATCAGATCAGTAAATGCAGAGGGCAAGAGGTTGGCTGGCCTGCTCAGGCCCTTCTAAAGCCTGAGGAAGGAGCTCATCGGGTAGAAAAACATCCTCCCGTCTCTGGAACTCAGGAATTCTATGGGAGCAGCTCGCATAGGCTTTCAAACATACCTTCTGCAGCTGTTCCCAGAGGTCATCACAAACAGTATTTCCATACTGGTAGGTCTCAAAGTAGGTCTGTGGAGAAAGGAGAGTCAGATGAGCGGAATCCCCAAACACAGGATAGCTCGGGGCTGCCTTTTGTGTGTGTGTGTGTGTGTGTGTGTGTGCTGCTGGCAATTCCCTCTGCAGCTGGTTGACTTCTCTGGCTGACAGAGACTCACCCACATTCAGGGCAGGGAGGGGCAAGGAGGGCCCCACCCACCCAGCCGCCGCTGCCACAGCACCTCACACAGATGTTGGGGGAGCTGCCTGGTAGACGGGGAGGTCGGCAGCCCCAGACCCTGACGGCAGCCGCCATGGAGGAAAATGCCAGGGCCAGAGGAGGGGGGCCTGCCCACACCAGCTTGAAGGGGCCCAGAGGTGCCGTATCCCCCTACACGTCATCCCTCTTACCCACAAAAAGTGGGTAAGGTTTTACACAGGTTGGAATTGCTGCTGGCCCAGAGGGAGACAGCCGCCTGCTTGCCTCCCTACGGCAGGGGGGGTGGGGGGGTGTCAGAGGGACCTGGGAAGGGCTCTTCGCTCATCCCACCGAAGCGGGGGGGGGGTCCAAAGGGCTCTTGGTTTCTGCTGGTCGTTCACCAGCGTGGCAAGCTGCAACTGTTCTCAGCTCGGTTCTCTCCTGAAAGGGCTGCCTGGAGATCTGCGGGACCTGCCCTTCTACATCCCCCCCCCCACAAAAAAAGGGCACGGCGATACATGGCAACATGGGGTGTATATGTGTGTGTCACAGTTTTAGCTTGTGCACCAGTCAGGGAGGGGAGGCGAAGGAAGGCAGCCCCTTACCTGCAGCCCTTCCCTGAACACGGCCTCGGTGAGGAATTCCGAGAGCATCCGGATCACAGCGGCCCCCTGCAGGGAGAAAAGAAGCTGCAATGAGGCAAGCAGAGGCCGCCCCCCCCCCACCTCCGCCTCGCCCCTCTTTCCTTCCTCTGCAGGGGAAGGAGGCTTCAGGAAGGCCATGCAGGGCATGGAGCAGGCTGGGTCCCTGGGGATCGAGTTCTCTAAATCCCACGCTTCACAGCAGTGAGGAGGCTCAGCAAACAGATACTGAATTCACAAACTAACAGAAGGGACCTCGGAGGTCTTCTAGCCCAAAGCCCTACTCAAGCAGGAGACTCGCTTATACCGTTCCAGAAAAATCTCTTCTTAAAAATCTCCAGGGTTGGAGCACCCACAACCTCTGGAGGCAAGATTGTTCTCATTGACAGGAAACGTCTCCTTAGTTCTAGGTTACAGTAGATCTTCCTTTGTAAGTTTCCATTCATTACTTCTTGTCCTGACTTCAGATGCTCTGGAGAATAGCCAACCCCCGTCCTCTCTGCTCTCCAAGTCAGGCAGGGATTTACCCAGCCCCCTCCTCACCTTACTGTAGGAAATGGAGTCAAAGACTTCACTGATCTGAGCGGGAGTGTTGATTTCCTCTGCAGGGCTGGAGAGCGGGTGTGAGGAAGCCAGGGCGTCGATGGCCATCACACGGTAGACATCATTCGGCACAATCAGATCTTTCTGAAAATGAACGCCTTAATCTCAGATCCCAAAGCGACCTGACTGGCCCTGAGCCCTTCTCCCCACCAAAGACCACTGTGGGCAGCAACCTTACTGCCAGTGGGTCAATAGTTGGAAGGGCAGGATGTGGAAGCTCTTTCTCCTGGATCTACCACAGGGGCCTTGGATCCATCAGGAAGACCTGTGGAGACCTTTGTCCCAGGAGAAGTCCTTCCTCTCCGGAACCAGGAAGGGCACGTCTAGATGACTTTACACAGCCCTTCAGAGACTTGGCCTAGATGCTCACAACACTCTCAGCCAAGTCAGTTGAAGACCTAGTGCTGTCTTCAGACAACATACTTATCCAGGGGAAAGTCGGAGTTTGGAAAAAGCTCCTCTCCTATTGTACTGCACAGCCCCACCTTCGGCCAATCAGCTGCACTGGCTCAGGGGTGTCCCTGTTGCCTTCCCATCCCATCCAGCACCCACACACGGGGCTTACAATATTCCACGTGGACTCAGCTTCATGTGCACCCAGATACTCCACATAGGACGCAAAGCCCTCATTCAGCCACAGCTCATTCCACCACTCCAGGGTAACCAGGTTTCCAAACCACTGTTGAGAGGAAGGAGATTCGCCCCGTAAGCGTTCTTTCTAGGAGCCCCTGGGCACGAGAGGGGAGGGTGCCAGGGAGATAGCCAGAAGGGGGGGTTGCCCAGAAGCTCCCTGGCATGCCCTCTACGTGGGTGGGGATTCAGTTGCTCCAAAAGTACAATCTAGAAAGTACCTGGTGGGCTACTTCATGAGCAATGACTGTCACAATCCGTTCCTTGTTGCCGATGGAAGAGTATTCCTGGTCAAAGAGTAGGGCACTCTCACGGTATGTGATCAGCCCCCAGTTCTCCATTGCTCCAGCGTTGAAATCCGGAAGGGCAACTTGGTCTGGGAAGAGATTTAAGCCCACGGGGGTGGGTCACACCCACAGGACACCCATCGTGACTGAAGGGGACACCAGTCTCCCGGCCCCCAGCCCAGCACCAAGACTTCCACCTGTGTCTCAGCCCTCCTCACCTACCTAATCTCGTCAGAGGATAAGGTACTCTGTATTCCTTCTCAAAGAAGTGGAGAATGGTCCCCGTGACGTTGAGTGCGTAGGCCCCCTGGCCCTCCCTGATCGCCTTGGGGCGGCCCCAGATCTGGATCTGAAAGAGGACCCAAGAACGCTCAGGGAAGGTCCCTGTTCCAGGGCAGAGCGACCCGAAGGATGCGCCCGTTGTGGGCAGCGGGTCCCCAGCTAGAGCAGGCCTACCAGGGTATTATTCTCGGTAACAGACACTTTCTCAAACTCGCTGACAATAAAACCAAGCAAGTAGGTGGACATCTTGAGGGTGGGATGAAATTCAGTCCGCGTCCAGATTTCTCCGCTTGGCATTGTTACCGCCTCAGTTCCTGGAAGAAAAGGCGGAGATGGTGAGGGGTGAGCTCGGCAGAAAGGCCGCCTTGCCAGGAGGAAAGGGTTCTGTCTCCCCAAGCACAAGTTCCCGAAGAAGGGCCCTTCTCTTTTCACCCCTTGGCCCAGTCGCTCTTTTGGGAGGAAGGCCCCCCACCCCCTTTTCACGCCCTTGTCCACTCACAGGCCTGGTCAGCCAGATGCTGCTCTGTGGGGCTCAGCGGGTGGCCTCTCCATGCCCTGTGTGAAAGCAGAGCAACCCTCCCCTTTGGAGGCAGAGGGGGGTGCCTTGCTGCCTTTGCCCCAGAGACTTTCCACAATGTGTCCCATGGGGGGGGGGCACCTTTGAGCCAAGGGAGCCTTGGAAGGTTGAGGGTGTGTTGTGGTCACTCTCACCCATGGCCGTCTGGGGGCAACTTGCCTATTTAAAGTGACGGTCATCACGAATACGGGTGCCCCCTGCCCCCGCTCGGATCCCCCCCTTTCCCCACTTGCTTTTGCCTTGAGGAGCACAAGCGGGTGGGCGCATCTCCAGCCAGACATCTCAGCCCTCGGGGGGCCCTGGCACCTTCCGTGGCAGCAGCAGATTTGCCACCACCTAACCATTGCTAAAGCCTGGCCTTAAGAGTCTCTCTGCCCCTTTCTAGTGACCGAGGAATCTTCTTTTCACACGCTCAGACACACCCCAAAAGCACACTCGTCCTGCTGCGTCAGTCATCCAGCACCTTCTCCCCAGCCCGTTCCTGCCCCCCTCGGCCTCGGCTTAGCCTCCGGTTTCCACCTAGACTAGAGGGAGGTTTTGCAGAGACGAGCCCCGATGGAGAGCACCATACGTCCTGCCCACTGCCCGGGGGAAGCCCTTTCTTCTGCCCACCCCCCAATTAGGCACTTACTCTTAATGGGCATGTTGGAGAGCGCCTCATAACCAGGCAAGTGAATCAGCGTGATGGAGAAGTTGGCCTTCATCGCTGGCTCATCAAAGCAAGGAAACGCTTTGCGGGCATCAGCAGCCTGCATCTGGGTTGTAGCCAACAGCCTGGAGAAAGAGAGACACCATCTCATCAGTCAAGAGGCCCAGGAATCTTTCTATTAACCGGCTCTGCTCTTTCTGGATCCTCTCAAGGGGGCACATATACAACCACAGGATAGGGTCCATTCAGGGAGCAAAGGCTTCCCGGCCCAGGTGGGGGACAGGCAGAGGCACAGTGGCATTTAGGAGCTGCTTCACATGGAGCAGCCAAGAAGGCCTCTGCCCCACCAACAAGTTCTAAGTTCTCATTACTCTTTCTCAGAAATAATATTTCCTGAGACACAAGTAGGGGACCCACAGAGTTTGTGATGGATCTGCTCAAGGGGCATCAGCTTCCTAGGAAGATGCAGCTTGGCCTCCAGTCCCACTCCCAGCCTAAGCCCTGGAAACTGCAGCGGTTGGAACAGACCTCTGTGGTCCCTCTTTCTGTTCCCATACCCCCCCCCACAACTCCGTCCCTTCCACATACTTGGTTGCCGTTCCTTCTGTATATGCACTGCGGTAGAAGCCAGCCAGATCATCTGCCAGTTCCCCAGTGAAGACGGCATGCAGCTGATACTTCTTATTCTGCTGGAGGTTCCCTTTGAGTTTCACCACCAGGTACTCTGTCTTCTCCTCTAGCCAAGTATTATGGATGGCAGGTGGGTTGGCATCATCAATTCCCATCAGGGACACAAGGAAAGCCCCCTGCAGAGTATAATTCAGCTTTTTGCTGTGTATGAGTATGAGGTCCGTAGGCTGCTTGCACTGAAACTCCACTGTGCTGTTCCCTTTGAAAATGTAGAAGTTTGGGCCGACCTCTGTCAGAAATGGCTGCAGAGAGATGGTGTAAAAGGTGGGCATCAAAGTTTTGGGCAACCGAAAGTGGTCCCAAGGCTCCAAAGGCTTGGTTGTGGTAGTTTGGACGCTGCCGTTGGCCGTGGTAGCTTGGGCGGTGCCGGGGGTGACAGCCACGCTGGTGCTGCTTGGGATCTGGTTGGAGAGGTCGTCTGCCCGCTGCTTCTCCTGGGAGTAGACAACCGAGAGGGCGATGATAGTGGCCACGGCCCCCAGGCCAAGGACAAGGCCTACAGCCCCCAAAGACTTGCTGATGAAGAATCCTTTGGCCATGGCTGAGGAGAGGCCAGAGTGGGGCTCGCACACAAAGGGATCGCTAAGACACCGCAAGTCCTTTATAGATGTGTTGCCTCTGGGGACTTCTTAGCGTGACGAAACATGTCAATTATTAAGCCAGGAATGCTGGGCGAAGGTCACTTCTGCTCTGTGGCCATCTTCTCTTATCTTCTGAGGGAGTTAATGGAGAACTGGATGCACCTTGATGTGGTTCCTGTGGAGAAAATCAACCCCAGTTTCAAAGGACTCTCAGGGCAAGAGAGCCAGCTGCCTCCCACCGTCCTCAGTCCCCGGCCCAGTCCCGCTGAGCAGGGGCAGGCCTGGGATTCAGAGGAGCTGCTGGCCTGGCCAGCGCAGGGCAGAGTTGAGGTTGGAGGCCAGCCTGGGTTTGCCTGACCCCCTCCTGGGTGTATGAGGCCAGCCTCTGCAGGTCCTCCACGCCCCTTTCGCCACCTTCTCATTATTATTTCATTTGTTTAAAAACGATAGGGCTTTTTCCTGAAAATATTGTATTTGTGTTACTAGCTAAGAGGTTTAACACTGTTTACATCAGTGGTTCTCAAGCTTTTCTTCACCACCCTTTAAATAGCCTTTGTGGCCAATTTAAATCATTACATTCCTTCAAGCCTTCGCAGACCTGCTGCGATGACATCACAGCCACCCCCCCAGGAGTCTGCAGACCGCAGGTTGAGAACCATTGGTTTACATGATTCAATAAATAAATATCCTATGAATGCATCATTTTTTATATGATAAGTATCAATGAATATAATCCATACAAACAACAGCTCTTTTGGGATCGTCCATAATTTTAAGTGGGAAGGGGTCTTGCGAGCGGAACATTTACGAAACATTGTCCTAGGCTAACATCTCAGTTGCAAACTCAGAAACAATTGGAGTTTTCTGCTCCACCCTTTAATCATGACATTTCCCACCTGCTCATACGCAGACATACACAAGGATGCCAAATCCGGTGTGGGCTGGAGGCTGGAAAGCATGACTCGGTTCTGTCCGGGCCAGACAGTCCCTGGGTCCGGGTTCGAGGAAGGCAGTCTTCTGCAAGCCGGATTGTTCCATTGTTTACCATCAGCCAAATGGCTTCCAGCGGCTGCATTCTCCGCGGGCCTTTCCCCCTGCCGAGTTGAGATGCCCACCACCCTCCTTGCCAGCCAATGACTGCTGCCAAGATTGTCTCTGGCTGCAGCCACTGCCAAAGGATGCAGAGCTGGTCTTCAGCTGCAGGAAAAGACCAGCTCATCACAGCACAGCAGCAGAAACTGGTGGGCTTTGGGACTTTTCGTGCAGGAAGCAAACCTAGAGCCTCTCACAAAGGATGCAGATGCCTAAGTACTAACACTCGAAGTATGAGGAACAAACAGGGTGAACTTCAAGGCTTAGTAGGTGAGGGCAGGTACAATATTGTTGCTATTACCAAAACTTGGTGGGATGAAACCCATGACTGGAACGTACAGCTAGAGAGATTTAAACTATTCAAAACAAACAGACCTAAGAAAAGAGGAAGTGGAGTTGCATTATATGTAAGAAATAACTACACCTCTACAGAAATCCAAAAAAAACAAACAAACCCAAAACAAAACCGAAGGATGAAAGCCTTCTTGAATGCATTTGGATTAAAATAAAAGGGGAAAAATGACCTTGCCATAGGTGTGCACTACAAGCAACCCAACCAAGCAGAGAGATGAACTTTTTGCTTATCATTTAGCTAAGGCGTGCAGGAAGCACACGACAATAGTAATGGGGGACTTTAACTACTCTGACATCAACTGAGAGAGAAACTCTGCAACAAGACCACAAAAAGTGACAATACTGCATCCAGATTTGGTCACCACGATGCAAAAAAAGATGTTGGGACCCTGGAAAGAGTGCAGCGAAGAGCCAAGAAGATAATAAAGGGTCTGGAGGCTAAAACAATAAACAGCCAGGAGAACTAGGCTTGACTAGTCTAATGAAGAGAAGGATTAGGGCAGTGGTTCTCAACCTGTGGGTCGGGACCCCATTTGGGGTCGATCGACCATTTCGCGGGGGTCGCCAAGCAAGGCTGTCCGCCATTTTTTTTGTCCTCCATTTTTTTTGTCCCCCATTTTTTTCCCCTTTTCCGGCGGGTGCCTTACCTCCCTTGGGCTGGGCCAGCTGGTGGTCGGCCTGCTCCGTCTCTGCCACTTGCGAGATACGCCTCGGCGGGCGCAGGGGGCGGAACCACGCATGCGCGGCGCTCCCGGGCAGGGAAAGTCCTCAACTTACGACCTGTTGGGTAGTCCTTGACTTACGACCGGTTTAGTCCTCGACTTACGACCGGTTTAGTCCTCGACTTACGACCGGTTGGGGTCGCGGCATTAAAAAGGTTGAGAACCATTGGATTAGGGGGTGATATGATATCGGTTTCCCAGTCCTTGAGGGGCTCTCACAGAGAAGAGGGGGCTGACCTCTAAAGCACCCGAGGGCAGGACAAAAAGCAACGGGTGGAAGATTATCAAAGGGAGATATGAAAGCTGAGTCACGGCAGCCGGACTTTTCTTTCTTGGTTTGAAATATTTTGCTGCTTATCCAAGAACAATCAAAGAAAGATCTAACTTAGAATTAAGGAGAAATTTCCTGTCAGTGAGAAAAATTAATCAGTGGAATGGCTTGATTTCAGAAATTGTGGGTGCTCCTTCACAAGAGGTTTTCAAGAAGAGATTGGACAGCCATTTGTCCAGAATGGTCTAAGGTCTTCTACTCAAGCAAAGGCTGGACTAGAAGACCTTCAAGGTGCCTTCCATCCTTGTTATTCTATGTTCTATTTACTCGTCCCCTTTTTGATAACTCAGTTGTGGAAGCTACATCATCTTCCGAATAAGTTCCCTAAAAAGGAGAGGCTGGAATCACGACAGTACTTTCCAAAATTGCTGGCATGACATGGAATCTTAACAAATCTCTTCGTTCTAAACTTCCTGGTCCTCAGTTTGGCCCAGTTGTGACACTCCTCTAAGAAGACCAGGTCTGCATCCTGGTTTCCTCTTTGGTCGGGCAGAGGTGCAAAGTGCAGGTGCCTCTATGGTGGTGGGTAAGAGCTGGTTTGGGTGGCAGTGGCAGTGATGTTATGCTTAGGAGCTCACCAAAGAAGCCATGTCAGAAGCATGAAAGCTTTGTTTTGCCTCAGTAGCATAACAACCTGTTTGCCCTATTTTCATTCAGCTAAGTTGATACAAGATGTTGAGCTAATCACAAACAACAGGTTGATTCAAGTTAACCACCAACAACATGTTTACACAGGTAGAGATTTGGAAAATGAGAGCAAACAACATCTTTACAACATCTACATGAGGCTGCTGGGTGAGGCTATTCACTGGCATGGGATCAGGTATCATCAACATGCAGAGGCCGTCCAGTTGCATATCTGCCATTGGACTTGTGTCTTGGGGCGTGGATGCTGTGACCTCTGGATGGGATAGCACAAGCTCAGGCTGAACAACACTTGAGGCACTGTGGATTCTTTGGCCCTCCCTTGCTGGAGACCTTTCAGCTTCTCTTCCTGATGGGACTGTACTTCCCCAGATGGAACAGACAAGTAATTTGGGGCTCATCCCAAAGTCTTGACTGAAGAGCAGACGGCATCTGTGGCCAGACTGTGAACTAATGACCCACTTCCCCAGTTTGGGAGGTCCTACCTACTCAAGCTATTCGTGGTTGGCCTATTGCAATGCACCCTACAGGGATAAATTCTGAAGACCATTCAGAAGTGACAGATGGCACCAGCAGTTCTGGGCAGTCCTTGGTTCACCTGGTAACATTACTGCTCCTAAGCTGCACTGGCTGCTAGTAAGCTTTTGGGTGCTAATTCCTTTGGGTGTGATTTCCTTTTCCTAGATGAAGAACCTGGCATCGTTTTGTTTAGCAAAAGCTTTTCTGCCATTTTCAGCTCCTTTCTCTAACTTCTGCCTCCAGAACACGTAAACAGGAGGAGCAAATAGGAGCTGCTTGGGGAATTCCAAAGGAGGAAGAGTGTCCAGAAGTCTGAAGGTGAACGGATGCATATCTGTGAAAGGGGAAAGTTCATCTCCAAATAACCGCTGATGGCAAGGACCAGCATACCTGCTTCCGGCTGATCAAGCAGAGACCCCCCAGGAGAATCAGGCAGGTGGGTTCTAGGGAGGGGGCGAACTCATGGAATGAAGAGACGAGGAGACCAAGTAGCCCTTGGTCAAGAATCTCTGGTGGAGGAATTTAAAGGGCAATCTCTAGCCCAGGGGGAGGCAACCTTGGCTCTTTTATGACTAGTGGACTTCAACTCCCAGAATTCCTGAGCCAGGAGTCATAAAAGAGCCAAGGTTGCCTCCCCCTGCTCTAGCCTGTTTCTTCTCAGCCAACAATAATATATCCTCGCCCAGCCCAGGTGCTGAGAACCAGAAGTAATATTAGCCTTTTTAAGTGAGTGATTACTTAAAGAGTCTTGAATGATACATAGGACCTCCTGCTTGAACAGGGGGTTGGATTAGAAGCCTCCAAGGTCCCTTCCAGCTCTACTCCATTGATTGGAAGGGTAGACGAACAGAACATGCAGTTGCACCCTGTGTGTATGTTTCTGCCTGAAAACAACCCGGCACACATTTGTCAGAATTGCACATTTGTAGCTTTTCCAGATGTACCTATCAAAGGTCCAGCAGGGACTTCTCCATGAGCCGCCCACAGAGCATCCACACAATGTTGGCCCTCCTCCAGAAGCCAACGGGATGTGGGGAGGGAGGCAGGGGGCATTCCTGCACTAACTGCCTTGTGTGAGACAATGTGAGCCACCCTATGGTTTCTGGGAAACAGAGTCATGTAGAAGAACCCCCAGGACTTCTCCTATGCTGGAATTCAGGGATCCCCCCCCCTCGCTGGTTCCCTGCAGGCACGGAGAAGCCCTGCCCTAAGGCGCCATCCCTTCTTCCATGAATGTGCCACCCCAAAGAAGGGGGAGGGCCGGCGCAGAGGCACAATAACTTGCTGATGCAGGAAGCTGGTCTCTACTAAGTCAACTCAGACCCACCTTTGTTCTGTGGGTCTATGAAATCCTGAACTTTTGCTCATGCCAGTCAAGAACAGGAGATCCCAGAAAAACTGCCCAATTATTGGAATGTAATAAATAAATAAAAAATAGACTTCACTCTTCCACAAACATCACATGACCCACCAGGCTTCCGTGGACATCTCAATCATTTTTCAGGTCACCTC